TCTGTGTATCTATCAGCAGAAGTGTGTGTAGGGAAAGGAGTGTGGTTTTGTGGGCCACTGCCATTTTCATATACTCAACATCCTTTTTTACGTAACAGATTCAGGTGTCCCTTGGTAGCTGAGGGAGGTTGATTCCAGCACCCCCTATAGAGGTGGTAATCAAAATTGATATGCTCAATTCCCTTATATAAAATGGTGTAATATGTGCATGTAACATGACTCAATATATGTATATGTGTAGTCCTCTTGTGTACTTTAAGTCATCTCCAGATGGCTTATAATGCCTAATAAAATGCAAATGCTATGCAAATAGTTGCTAAAGTGTGTCATTTATGCAATAATAAGAAGAAAAGAAAATCTGAACATATGTTTACAGGCACAGGGCTTTTTTCCCAAATATTTTCAGTGTGCAGTTGGTCAAATCCACAGGTACAGAGGGCCGGTTGTATCTTGTAACACCCTTTTGCTTTCTGGAAATTAAGTTCTTAGATAGTATACTCTCTCTGCACCCTAATTCAAAGGAAAATCTACATCATATTTTATATAACATCTGTATTGTAGTGATAATAATTTCAAATATGAAATAAAAGGAAGTGCTTGATAAAGAAATAATTCATTTTAACAGGTGAAAGTTTGAGTGTGACACTGCCCAGGAAATACGAGAAAGTTATTAGAGGCTTGTAACATGTTATCATGAATAAATAGGAGAAAAGTCAGATGCACAAAGTACAACAAAATAATAGACAATCCTTGGGGTGAGATTTTGCAACGTGGTTCATAACTCCAAGGAAAGAGTGTCACAAACCAGAATACAATCCCCTCTTGACTTGCATGACAACCACATTCCTGTACCACTCAAGATATATTACAACTGGGGGGTGGGTTGTGATACATTGTTTGTGTATGAACTAGAGTTATGTGTGATCTAGATTATGTTAACTTTAAGTCGAACTTCCTAGCTGAAGTGGGCTGCTGTGCTGGCTGTATTGGACAGCTCCACCTGTCATTGGATTGTGAGCTCTGGACCCCTAGTTATTAGTTGAATCTCCTGCCCCAGTGGCAGCCAAAACGCCCTTGCAAATTTTCCAAATGTCCCCTAGGGGGCAGTAGCGCTTTTGTTGATGACACAGCTCTGGCACTTAAGCTGGGTACCTGTGCGGAGGCAGGGTACACTGTGTTCCTGTGCGGAGGCAGAGAACAAGCTATACCTCCCCGTGTGTGTGAGTGTGTGTGTGTGTGTGCGCGCGCCTGTACTCTGAGCTGGCTGCTGCTGTCTGCAGGTCTCTACATAACAGTGGGCTATGTGTGTGTGTGCAGGGAGAGGGAGGGTGCGTGTGTTCGCACACATTCTTAGCCTCAACTCTGCCCAGTCTGTGCTGCCAGTCTGTGCTCAAGAGACCCCTCTTTTTAATTATACCGCTTCCCCCACTGGCACCACAGTGCCTCTGTTGTGTTTGCTTGTCGCTGTTGCTACATAGTGGTTTGGTTGAAATTTAGCTTTTTGTTTTCACTGAGACCCTGAGCTACACATGGGCCTCTTTCTTGGTCTTGGGGTGTCTCTCTGTGCTTCCTTTTTAATTTCGGCCTTTCTCTGGCTTCCCTCTCTTTTTCTGGCTCCCTGCCCTCAGTTTGTCTATTTCTTTTTCTTCCCTTGTGTTCTCTCTCTCTCTCTCTCTCTCTCTCTCTTTCCTGTCTCTTTCTGTGTCTATTTCTCTCTCTTCTCTGTCATACCGTTTTGCTAGGCTGTTCGTCCTCTCCCTCCCCGTCCTGTCTCCGCCGTCACTGACTGTAACATGCAGTCTCTCCTGTCTCTCTCCCTTTCTCCCAGTTTTCTCTTAAGGAGCAGGTGTGTGCGTGTTTATGCACACATGAAGGCATGACCCTCCACCAGCCAAGGGCTGTTCCGCAGTTCTGAAGAGGCTATAGGACCTGCAAGGGCTGAAAGGGGGGACACCAACCCTACTACCCCAAGCAGCCCCTCCTGGTCTCCTCCCATGGCCTACTGCTGCCAACTCTGACTTCGTCCCCCCAAAACAGTGCAAGAGGGGAGACATTCCCTGAGCTGAGAAGACATTTGCTTAAGTCCCACCTCGCGGGATGCCAGGCTCTCCCCTGTGCCCACAGTAATGCTGAGCTTCTCCAGCTTCACCCGCGCTGCCTGGCTGATTTCCCTCTGGGGTCAGCCCTATTAGCTTAATCACATCATTGCACTTGCTGCCTGCACACACTGGAAGCTCTTGATTTTTTTCCCCCCAGGCTTAGCTGGGTGGTTCCTATTGCTAGACAAAATGCTCCGGCTACTCCTTCGGCAATTTTACCTGGTGACTCCCAGGGGGCGCTCTCGACCTGCCAGCCATTTAGTTCCTCAGTCAACTAAGGGGCCATTTTGTCAGAGTGCCCACCATGGCATATGGAGGGAGGCCTTCTAGAGGAAATTGAGTCTAAACCCTTTATTGTAATAGGATAATACCGGCAATACTCATTTTTAAAGATTTATCTATTTTTATTTGAAAGACAGATTTGCAGAGAGGAGAAATGGAAGTCTTCTATCTGCTGGCTCACAACGGCTGGAGCTGAGCCAATCTAAAGCCAGCAGCCAGGAGCCTCCTTCAGGTCTTTTACGTGGACACAGGGTCACAAAGACTTGGGGCATCTTCCACGGCCCTCCCAGGCTACAAGCAGAGAGCTGGATGGGAAGTGGAACAGCTGAGACACGAACTACTGTCCATTTGGGATGCCAGTGCTTGCAAGTGGAGGATTAGCCTGTTAAGCCACTGCACAGGCCCCAGCACACAGAATTTTTAAAGGAAATCATATAATGCAACAGAAAAGAGAAATTCTTGGAAGCCAACTACAGGAGGGAAAGGGCTATAGGGATGCTCTCATCTCTCACCTGGACTCCTCAGGAACCTCCTGCCATCTGGTCCCTGCCAGTACTTGAGAAATGCCTTGCTCTTTCTCCCCAGCAGGCAACACGGAGTCCCATGGCTGGGCCCTGGCTCCCCTACTGGGACTCGTGTTTCCACAAATAGCCCTCGTGTCTCCCTGCTTCGCCTCCTTTGGTTCTTCTTCTTCTTCTTCTTTTTTTTTTTAAGATGTATTTATTTTTTATTGGAAAGGCAGATATACAGAGAGGAGGAGAGACAGAGAGGAAGATCTTCCGTCTGATGGTTAATTCCCCAAGCAGCTGCAATGGCTGGAGCTGAGCCAATTCGAAGCCAGGAGCCAAGAGCTCTTCTGGGTCTCCCACGTGGGTGCAGGGTCCCAAGGCCTTGGGCCGTCCTTTACTGCTTTTCCAGGTCTCAAACATGGAGCTAGAAGGGAAATGGGGCTGCCGGGATTAGAACCGGCGCCCGTATGAGATCCTGGCACGTTCAAGGTGAGGACTTTAACCATTAGGTCACGCTGCCGGGCTCATTGGTTCTTGATTACTGTGACTCCTCATCAGCAACTGCAGCACAACTGCCTCTAGCACTTCCTACCCCCTTCCCTTCGTTATGCTGTTCCCAGGAGCCTGGCTTTGCACTTGTATACTTTCGATATCGCCTCAGGATGATCTAGTTTGTCCCCCCTCCAAGGAGCAGTGGTCCTCATCTTTCTGGCTCACAGCTGTCCTCTCAGTGCCTGACACACTTGATGTGCAACAAATGCTTGCTTTGGTGAGCATGGAATGTATGTAAGCCTACTCCGATTTCACTTAAAGCAGAATCCGAATTCCTCACCTCAGGCGAAAATCACAGGCCCACATGGCTTGGCCTCAGACCCGTCTGTGCCCTGTCTCTTTCCCTCATTCATTCCAGTTACATTAGTCTTTCTCCTATGCCTCAAGCACTCTAGAAATTTGTACAATGAGTAGTTACCAGCCATTTCCAATTTTAACATTTATTTGTTTTCATGGGAAAGTCAGATTTACAGACAGGAGAGACAGAGAGGAAGCTTTTTTGTCCGCCGTAAAAAAGTGGCTGCAAAACCCAGAGTTGAGCTGATCTGAAGCCAGGAGCCTCTTCTGGGTCTCCCACGCGGGCACAGGGTCCCAAGGCTGTGGGCCGTCCTCGACTGCTTTCCCAGGCCACAGGCAGGGAGCTGGAAGGGAAGTGGAGCAGTGGTGACACAATCCAGCACCCACATGGAATGCTGGCACCTCGGGGAGGAGAATCAGCCTGTTGAGACACTACACCAGCCCACTAGACTTTTCTTTTTTAAAAGATAAAATAAAACATTAGAAGAGCATGAATCATTACAGAATAGTAGTAAACACAATGAATGCATGTCTCAATACATGTGCATTGCATGCACGATTAGTGCTGTTTGGTGTTTGTGTGTGTGTGTGCGTACTGGGCTGCTTCTCTGTGTGTGTGTGTGTGTGTACTGGTTTGCTTGTGTGTGTATGTGTGTGTGTACTGGGTTGCACTATAAAATGCATTTTGTATTATGGGCAGTGGTCAAAAGTTTGAACATGACCTTAAGACTTTACAAAGCGCAAGAGCCACACAGTAATATCCCCAGGTCCCAGAGGCAGTGATGGGGAATGATGACATCTGGAGAGATGAGGCAATCTTCAGCCAGCCAAGAGGGGATGAAAGTGGGCCAGGCCAGGGCCTAAGACCAGCCAGGGAGTGAGTGGGGAGCACTTGGCAGACTGACTAAACCTGACCTTTCCGTTCTTTCCTCACCATCCCTTTCCGTCTGTTTTTCTCTCTGTCCCCCATTCCCTCCCCCGGTCATCTGGTTCTCTGGTTCCCGCTTCACTCCAACCCTCTGGGGCACTGGTACTTCTCCTTAATACAAACTGACAAAATTTCTCTCTCGTCTGTCTGTCTCTCTCTCTCGTGAATTTCTCATTCGCTCCATCTCTATGTCAATTCCTATCCATTTATATCTTTCCTACCCTTTTCCTCTTTGTTCTGTCTCCTGTTCTCTACCACTCCATCTCTGTGTACCTACCTGTATTTGTTTTTCGTTTTGTCTCTATGTGTCTCCACCATTGTCCCCATCTGCAGGTGCAGCCCACAGGATAACTGATGGAGTCCCGCAGGGTCCATCAGGTACCGGACTGGCTGACCCCGTAGGGTTGACAGCAGCCCTTGCCCCCTCAGTATGGCCAACAGCACCGGAGAGCCCGAGGAGGCGAGCGGCGCCCTGTCCCCGCCATCAGCGTCGGCTTATGTGAAGCTGGTGCTGCTGGGACTCATCATGTGCGTGAGCCTGGCAGGCAATGCCATCTTGTCCCTGCTGGTGCTCAAAGAGCGTGCCCTGCACAAGGCTCCTTACTACTTCCTGCTGGACCTGTGCCTGGCTGATGGCATACGCTCTGCCGTCTGCTTCCCCTTTGTGCTGGCTTCTGTGCGCCACGGCTCCTCATGGACCTTCAGTGCGCTCAGCTGCAAGATCGTGGCCTTCATGGCTGTGCTCTTTTGCTTCCATGCGGCCTTCATGCTGTTCTGCATCAGTGTCACCCGCTACATGGCCATTGCCCACCACCGCTTCTACGCCAAGCGCATGACACTCTGGACCTGTGCAGCTGTCATCTGCATGGCCTGGACCCTGTCTGTGGCCATGGCCTTCCCACCTGTCTTCGATGTGGGCACCTACAAGTTTATCCGGGAGGAGGACCAATGCATCTTTGAGCATCGCTACTTCAAAGCCAACGATACACTAGGCTTCATGCTTATGTTGGCTGTGCTCATGGCAGCCACACACGCTGTCTATGGCAAACTCCTCCTCTTCGAGTATCGTCACCGCAAGATGAAGCCAGTGCAGATGGTGCCAGCCATCAGCCAGAACTGGACATTCCATGGCCCTGGGGCCACCGGCCAGGCTGCTGCCAACTGGATCGCCGGCTTTGGCCGCGGACCCATGCCACCAACCCTGCTGGGTATCCGGCAGAATGGGCACGCAGCCAGCCGGCGGCTGCTGGGCATGGACGAGGTCAAGGGTGAGAAGCAGCTAGGCCGCATGTTCTACGCGATCACACTGCTCTTCTTACTCCTCTGGTCACCCTACATTGTAGCCTGCTATTGGCGAGTTTTTGTGAAAGCCTGCGCCGTGCCCCACCGCTACCTGGCCACCGCTGTCTGGATGAGCTTCGCCCAGGCTGCCGTCAACCCGATCGTCTGCTTCCTGCTCAACAAGGACCTGAAGAAGTGCCTGAGGACTCATGCCCCCTGCTGGGGCACAGGAGGTGCCCCAGCTCCCAGAGAACCCTACTGTGTCATGTGAAGCAGGCTGCTAGGCAGACAGGCAGGGAAAAGGTCATGGCCACCATGACGGGGGCCCCCAGGAAGGGCCACATGGGGCCCCACACAGGAGCCTTCTTTTTTTGAGCTCCAGCCCCAGTCCTTAGAACCACCCAGAACCTAGGCACCTTTCCCAGCACCTCCCCAGGGTGGGAGACTGGGAAAGAGATGTTCCTAGTTTTGTGGGGTCTGTCTCCACCACCTCCTTCTCCACTTTCTACAATCTCATTTTCTCTCTCTCTTCTCTCTCTCTCTCTCTCTTTCAGAAGTGACAATTCAGAAAAATAAAACAAAACTGAAAATGCAGGTTTTTCTACAAACAGTGGAGGAGACAGGCTTTCTTGCTTTCAGTGGCTCTCCTTCTGACACTGTTCGGAAGGGGCAAATGTGTCCTGTAAAATAGATTCCCAGAGCTCTGTTGCCCCTCCCCTCTGCTCCCATGCCCCCTCCCCTCCCATGTCCTTTAGCAAGGCCTGGATGTCGGAGAGGGGGTGAAACTGATCCAAGGCTACTGACAAGAGGGACCTTATAGCAGGGGGTCTGGATCTCCCAGGGAGCAGGGATGTTTAATTGCTATGTGCTGTGCAATGTTGTTTTTGGCTAACCCTGGTCCCAAGCCCTGTCTCCTCTTTCCCCCCTCCCCCACTCCCGTGTCCAGACCTCCCAAGTGTATCTTCAACATCTGTTTGAGAAGCCAAGAGGGCAGGGGATGAACCCGCGGCCCCCTGCCATCCCCCAGGATGGGTCCAGGCTAGGTGAAGAACAGAATGTGCGTTGAACTCTTCCAGCTGAAGAGCCTCAAGTTTGGCTGCATTTTCTTAATGCTGGATGCCCAACCCCCAAATCTTCTTCCTGAAGACACAAGATCCCATTGCAGCACTGCTCAGGCAGCGCCGTGGTGGGTGCCCTGCAGGCCGGAACAGCTCCCTGGGGGTGAGGGGAAGTTGTAGGGAGGGAGCTGAAGTCCTCCCAGAGGAACTACACCTTAGTACCTGGAGTCATAATTGAACACAACCCCTGCCCCCTGCCCCAAATTGCTGCCTGGGTTCACACTACTCTTCTGAAGATGGAAATTCTTTTGGGGGCCTTGGTAACTGATAGTGGTACAAACTCCAAGGCGTTAGAGACTTGAGTCCATTTCTATTTGACTTCTTTTTATCCCCCTGCTCCCCCCCACCACCATCCCAGTCTCAGGCTCCTCCTTCCTCCTGGATGACCCCTGGACTTCTGGACCCTCAGCCCAACACATCCTTCCTCCCAACAGTCCTCCCCCGCCCCTTCCTCCCTCCGCCTTTACCTACTCCTCAAGTGGAGCAGCCTGCAGCCAGATACTCCAGATGTGGGGAGGCCCCAAGATGTCCCTCCCAGCAGCAGAGCCAATGTTGGGTTTACTGCAAGACCAGTTCCATGGACTGGTGAGCCAACCTGCTCATCTTTGGCCTGGGCATGCCGGGATGCTCTTTCCTGAAGCCCCCTCACCCCACCCTCTCATTTCCTGAGGGGCATGAGTGATGATCTGTATTTACCCACCCCTCACCCCACCCCCATTTTTTCTTCTTATTGTAGTCCCTGTCCTGAGCTCTCTCCTTATCCCAAGACAGCCCCCAAACTGGGCAAGCCTTGACCTAAAAGGAATGACAAGGGCGCTCTACACAGGAGAGACATTAATGAGCCTGGCTGGAGAGTGGCCCTGGAAAGGCAGGCCAGAGTGGCTGAGAGGCCAGGAGGTGGGAGGGGGGGCGGATGCACCTGTTCTCTTGGTGATAGTGATGGGGTGCCTTTCCAAGGGTGTGGGGTGGGCAGACCACGGGGCGGGTGGGAGTAAGATAGGATCACATTCAGGAGGGATTTCCTCCATTTCTTTTTTTCTAACTGCCTGGATTCACTATTGGATTTTGTAAATGGAAAAATGGAAATGAACAATGCTATATTGGATGTTTTCTCTTTCTGACCGTGTATTGTGTGTGTCTGTGCATCTGTGTGTGTGTCTGCATCCGTGTGTTGTGTGTCCTGTCTGTGTGATCACAGGTGGGGAGGTCAGCCTGAGTGAGATGCTGTGTGTCTGTGTGACTTTGTGTGGGAAAGTACCCTGAGGAAAACTTGCCTGGCACACACATGTGAGCAAATGCCCGACTGTGGAGACATACACAGCATACACACACATACGCACACACACAGTTGAGAGGAGACAAACTAGAGTATTTGCCTGCAGCAAGAGCGGGTGTTCTGGAGATGAAGCTTAGAAACTGTACATATGTATGTAGCAAGATGGTAGACTCCTATCCCACAATAGTGTCCACCATCGGCCCAGACCCTGAGCAGAGAGAGAGATGGGGTACTGAGAACCTGAACCTGGTCTCTTCCCAAAGTGTGAAGCCACCCTCCCCCCTACCCCGCCCAGGGATTATGCCCAACTTTGTCTTAGTCTCCTCCCCAGAACCCAAACAAGGTGTTCCTGAAACTGGATCACCATGGAGAACAGCTACTGGGAATGCGGGAATCTTCTATGGGAGGAGCTGAGAGGAGAGCACTCTTGCCCACCGCACACACGTGATGGCTTCTGGAGGAAGTGCTCAGGCTGGGGTGGGAAGTCTTTCTAAGGAGCCACCATACAGAGCTTTGACTCAATTCAGAGGGAGGGAAGTCACGGGGGATGGGGTTGGGAATCTAAGCCAGGAGACTACCCAGCCAGGCTGATCCCTGGGTATTCAATGAATTTGCTATTTATTTATTTACTTATCTTGTCAGGTGCACAGAACTGAGTTGATCATACTCCTCAGTTTTTGGCACAGTAGATCATCACTGGTTCATGTGAGGCCCTTTTATTCTTTGTTTTGTCCCCTTTCATCGCCCATCCCTGATCCCATTCTCCGCCCCCCACCAACATAGGCACTCACTCCCCTGTATTTAATGTATGTCCTTCCAATCCACCATTCATGTGTTTATTTACATATGTGTACCTGTGAAAAGTATATGGTATTGTGTGTTTTAATTTACATAAACAGTATTGTACTATAAATCTTGTTCTGTTTCTTTTTTCACTCAACATTCTGTTTTTATGAGATCCAGCCATGTTGCCGTATATAGACCTAATTCATTCTAGTGGTCCATCTTAAACATATATCACATTTTTCTTATCCATTTCCCTGGTGATGGATCCCTAGGTTGCCTCCAATTCTCTGCTTCCACAAGGCTGCCCTGGGCAGTTACTTCCACCTCTCTATAGGGCCCACCTAGAGAGGGGCAGTAATGTTCAGGGTTTCATTGTGAAGGGCAGAGCTGTGATGGGAATTGTAGAACCAGAGCCAGAATTTCACGACCATGCTTCTGGAATATATATATAATATATTACGATTAAAAACAGCATATAGAGGGGGGAAGAAAAATGATGGAAAGGAGAAACACTAAATGGACGAAGAAAAAGAAAGCTCTAGAAAAATCTAGATGAGCTGAATCACAATCATTTGTATGACGCAGAGGAAGTTACTTTTTGTGTGATTACCATTTCTTAGAATCGTTTTTTTGCAGAGATCGAAAACACCACGTCAAAAGCTAGCCCCCAAATCAAAGACCCAGGGCACCTAAAATGCAGTAGCTTGTAGGGTGGCCCGAGCTCCTCAGGGTTACAGCCCAGTTCGCCTCAGGGGCAGAAGCAGGCAGTGGGGGAAGGAGCAGGTTTTTTAAAAGTGCGTAGTTGCTGAGGGGAGGAGGCGGTTAGAGGAGGCGGAATGATAGCGAGGCTCTCCCGATTTTATTTGAGCACATCCTGCTCAGTGCCTGCGTTTGTTTTTCGTCTTGTTTTTTGGTCTTCAGAACCACTGGTACTTTTTTCCCATTGGATAAAACGCCGGGAGGGCGAGGGAAAGGGGTTCCGTCCCTAGGATTCCTCGCAGCCAATCGCCCTTCAGTTTTCTTCTCGTCTGTGAGGGAGGGAGCCCGATGATTGGCTGCTCCGAGGGCAAGCGAATCGGAAAGCGATGACGTGGAGTGTTGGCAAGCAGATTGCGTGCGAGCGGGCAGGGGTTGGGGGAGCACGCGCGCCGCCGCGGCGGCCGGCAGCCAATGGTGACACAGAGCAGGCCGTTTGCGTCAAGGAGTGGGCGGGATCTCTACGATTGGCGCGGAGGGAGTAGGTCAGGCACTGTGGGAGGGAACACCAGAGCGAGCTGAGGAGGCGAGCTGGTCCGTGAGGTGCCACCTCTGGGCTGCAGGTGGGACTGATTCGGGCGGCCGCGGTGAGAGCGAAGGGGCGAGTGAGCCCCCGAGCTGGGTGAGCGCGGTCACCATGGACCGCCCGGATGAGGGGCCTCCGGCCAAGACCCGGCGCCTGAGCAGCTCCGAGTCTCCAGAGCGCGACCCGCCGCCGCCGCCGCCCCCTCCTCCGCTGGTGCGACTGCCTCTGCCTCCGCTCCAGCAGCGTCCATGGCTCCGTGAGGAAACCGAGGCGGCACAGGTGCTGGCTGACATGAGGGGGGTGGGGCAGGGCCCTTCGCTGCCCCCGCCGCCGCCCTATGTCATTCTTGAGGAGGGAGGGGTCCGCGCCTATTTCACCCTGGGTGCTGGGGGACCCGACTGGGAGCCTGCGATCGAGTCGGGGTACGGGGAGGGGCCCCCTCCCATGGGCAGCCTGGAAACCCTGCCGCCTTCCGAGGCCTCGGGGGGCAGTGTGCAGATCGACGTTCATGTTGCAGAGCCCAGTAGCCTCGCAGGAGAGAAAGCCCTAGAAACCTGTAGCACAGGGGTGTGGGGCTCCAAGAGGTTGATCGGTCCAAAGAGAAAGGAGGAGGCCGTCATCATAGTGGAGGATGAGGATGAGAGTGAGAGTCTGAGGAGGCGGAGGAGAAGGAGGAGAAGGAGGAAGCAGAGGAAGATGAAGAAAGCAAGCAAGGAGCGGAATGGGGATGGGGAGAGGATGGCGAGCATCCTGCAGGCACTGGAGAGTATTCAGATGGACCTGGAGGCGGTGAACATCAAGGCGGGCAAGGCCTTCCTCCGGCTCAAACGCAAGTTCATCCAGATGCGAAGACCCTTCCTGGAACGCAGAGACCTCATCATCCAGCATATTCCTGGCTTCTGGGTCAAAGCAGTATCCTTCTCATCGGTACTCATGGGCCCAAAGCCCATGAGTGCACGGGGGAGGGGAACAGAAAAAGTGAAAAGGTGTGTGGGGGGGAAGGGAAATGGGCCCTCTTCTGGAAAAACAGCCCCTTTGGGTGGAAGAGGGAGGGAAGGAGGAGGGCAAGACATCAGAGAAGCTGGACTGGCCATGATGAAGGGGGAAGGGGTGACCACATAGCTTAAAAACACGGATGGGCAAAACAGGGAGAAACGCAGTGTTTTAAACAAAATGAATCCCAGTGAAAAGGGGGGAGGGGACTAGAGGGCCACACGGCTGGAGCGGAGCTGGTGAGAGGAAGAGGGGAGGGGCATGCAGGAGATAGCAACTGACTCAGAGGCTGTGCAGAGGGAGGGGCACGACACAGCACAGCAGCTGCCCAGAAAGAAAGCCTTGGGTTCTGCTTGGATCCCAGGAAGGCCCCATGCTGACAAAAGTCCTGCATTGGAGGGCAGGGGGCTGGAGTCCACAGAGGGTTAGAGAAAGTACCTGGCTATGGAGACTGGTGAATCCAGTAAAGAAAGGGGAAGGAAGAATCCCAATCACTGTTAGAGATTGTGCATCACGTCTCCAGGAACACAACATGCATACATGTGACATGTTAAGAACATACAGGGTTTAACCTGCTGACAGAATTCAATGAGTAACAGACCCTGGGCCCCCTGACACAAATGATCATATGATCATGAGCCTTCAGCACCCAGATAATATCATACAGGCATAAAAGCTCAGCAATAGACCCTGTAATATGTGCATCCCATCTCTCCTCTGCCGTTTCCCCCCCGCCCGCCCCTTCTCAGCACACAGAGCTTGGACACTAATGCACAGAGGCGTTCATGCGACATGTGGACACAATGTCAACTCCCACACATAGAACATCATGTGACCACAGGCTCTTAGCAACCAGGAATGGCAGCACTTTGACATGGAGCTTTAGCCATGGACACCTAAGCATTTTGCAAACGTAAGCCCTCAGCACTCAGAGACAGATGTCACATGAATGTTAGCCTTCAGCACCCTGACACAGCAAATGCAAACAATGGCTAGGCCACTTAACGCAGGTTTGACATTCACACGCGCGCGCACACACACACACACACACACACACACACACACACTCACAGAGGCTCTCGCTGCATAAATGGTATCAAGAGAAGAAAAGTACTTGAGAGGCACATGACCTGCCTGTTGCACACATGAAGCCTAAAGGACTGCCCCGACACACTCCAGCCTCTCTTTTGTTCTGCCCTGCCTGCCCCTTCCCTCCCTCCCTCTCATGGAACAGTTAATCCTTGACCTAAACTGCTCCACTCATCAGTTCCTCAACCACCCCAGAATTTCAGTTTTGATCAACCAACGCGATGAAGACATTTTCCGCTACTTGACCAATTTGCAGGTCAGGCCGAAGAGAAAACGCCAAGGAATCTTGTGTTCGGAGGTGAGGGGTGGGTGGAAGGGGCCACAGTAGATGGGGGGTACAGATCCCACCATTACCCCCACCTTGAGCAGGTACAGGATCTCAGACATATCTCCATGGGCTACAAAATGAAGCTGTACTTCCAGACAAACCCTTACTTCACAAACACGGTGATTGTGAAGGAGTTCCAGCGGAGCCGCTCTGGTAAGCCGCCGATGCCAGGATAGAGTCGTGGCCATCCCTCAGTCTTTCCTTTTCCAGTCCTATCTCCATCTCTTCCTCCCCTCACTCTCCTCCCTAGGACGGCTGGTGTGTCATTCTACCCCGATCCGCTGGCACCGGGGTCAGGAACCCCAGGCCCAGGGTCGTAGGAACCAGGATGCCAGCCACAGCTTCTTCAACTGGTTCTCGAGCCACAGCCTCCCAGAGGCCGACAGGATTGCTGAGGTGGGGCCCCTCACGGCATTGCCAGAGAAAGCCTTGCTAGATCTTACCCCTGAGGGCCTGGAAAACTGGGAGTGAGCCTGGGGGCCCATGCTCACAGCTCTGATCTCTTTACCCATCCTCTCCACAGATTATCAAGAATGACTTGTGGGTTAACCCTGTGCGCTACTACATGATGAAAGAAGGGGGCTACAGGACAAACAGAAAGAAGCAAGAACGGAAAGAAAGGTGATGGGGGTGGGGTGACTGAGGGATGACTTGATGGAGAGGGGGCAACCTTTGAGATGATCCAGTGTGAGGAAGGATGCCCAGAAATGACCTGAGGCTATACAGTCAGTGCAGTCACGGGACTCCTCCCCTGCCAGCCTCATCTGGGGCAGCCCTTGTAGTAGCTTAACTGTCTCTTCAGTTACTCACCAGCTTTCCGTGTCTGCTCTGGGTCCACCATTTGCCACCAAACCCCTACTCACCCCAGGCTTCCCAACAGGAAAGCAAAGCGTAATTTTGAGGTGGTGATCATGGAAGATGGTCATGACTTCTTCGCGGTTGAAAATGTCTTCAGCGAGATCTCAGACATCGATGATTCCACTGACAACGAGACCGTTCATGACATCAAGACCTCTGACTTCATGGAGACCACTGACTACTTCGAGAGCACCGACAACGAGATAGCTGACGCCCACGACAGTCTCTGTGACAGCGAGAGCCCAATCCCTCCGGAGGCCATCAAGCACGTGAGCAGCGACAGCAGCGAGAGCACAGATGACAGTGAGAGCGCCGATGACAACAGTGACCACCCAGAAAACAAGAACACCGATGACACCAAGAATCTCAGCCAGGACTTTTATGACAACCAGTACACTGCTGGTTACAGCAGCCTCAGAGGTGTGTATCCGAGCAGCCTTGGCCACAACCAAGATAGCAGTGAGAGCGATAATGAGGCCAGTGATGATGAAGATAATGATGGCAATGAAGGTGACAATGAAGGCAGCGATGACGATGGCAATGAAGGTGACAATGAAGGCAGTGATGATGACGACAGAGACATCGAGTACTACAGGAGGGCCATTGATGACTTCGACAAGAATCAGCACAACAGCATCCACCAGGAAGACTATGAGGATGAAGTAGAGATCATCTCTGAAGACTCAGTGGAGGAAGATGAGGAGGAGGAAGAAGAGGGCAATGAGGAAGGTGAGCTAGAGCCTGTTTTGTCTTCCCTCCTTTCTTTTCACTCACAGGCAGACTACCCAGGGTAAGTACATGAGGACCCACATACAGCCTGCTCCGACAGAGGCAGAAGACACTGCAATTTTTAACATTGGGAAACCAGGGGGAAAATGTAATTTACAAACATGACAAAACTAAAACCATTTCAGTTCTAGGTGATGGCTTAGATAGGTTACAAGAGAGCCAGACAAATGAAGAGTAGACAACAATAAAAGGAGGCAGTGGGTGGAAAGGACGGGTTGTAGCGTCTGAGCAAGAGGGAGGAGGTGGGGGGAAGCAGCAAACATGCTGTAATTTAGCATATTTTGTACCCATCCTGGCCTCCCAGGAACTCTAAGACCTCTTTGGGGAGGCGGGAGGGAGTGAACAGTGTGTTCTGGGAACCCACAAGAGGGAACACTGATTCTATCTTAAGAGGGAGGAAGGGTTAGAGAAGATAACATTTGAATTGGAAGTTGGCATTGCCCCCAAGGAACATTCTAGTGCATTCTTGATGGGAGGAATCATGTGAACAAAGATGTGGGGGTCTTTTTGGGTGGGAGGTTCCCAAAAATTGTCTCCTAAGGACCCTTTAACCAGTTCTCATGAAAAGATTTGGTGACCCAGTGCCTAGAAGATCTGGCACGCACAAGTATTAAAGATTCAGACACATCCGAGTACTTCAAAGGCTCTGAAAAGTCCTGCTTTTTTTTTAAAATTCACGTTGGAAAACTCAGCATTTCCCAGACTTTTTGACTACAGAAGACACCAATGTTCTCCCTCTTCCCAATGATCCGGTTTTGGGACGTGCCAAAGAAGGCTTGCACTCAAGGGGCCTGAGGGAGAAGGTGGTAGTCCAGGCTACTGGCTAGCTTTTGGCATGGCCTGACTGGTGAAGGGAAGCACCAGCGCCCAGATGTAGACAGAAGAGGCCAGCCCCTTGTGGAGGTGGTAAGGGCTGGGCAGATGCCTGGGGCTTTGGGCTGTAGGCTCCCTGCCAAGCTCCTGTTAAGGCCCAGAGCAGTGTATGGAGGAACGAATCACTGGGAGAGTGAGTAGCCTCAATCCAGGCAAAATTTTCAGCTAGGATAGAAAAACCCAGGCCATGGTCAGCCTGTACCCCTCCACCTGGTAGCATCTCTCCTCTCTTCTCTGAGAAAGGGAAGCTGAGCTGTATTGCCTAGACGGGGTGGGGGTGGGGACTTAGCTTTAAGAAGACAGACTGGAGTCTGTTTGCATCAGACCGGTACAGGAGCTAGGGTGCAATGAATAGGAGGTTTCAGTCAGCCGAGGTGGTGGCTCCGTCAAAAGACTCGCAGTGACAAATTCCGGGAGGAGAAAAACCTATTTTCATAACCATGTCAGTTTTGGCAGGGTGCAGGCAGAGGGATCCCTCCCTCCCTCCCTCTTCCCCCTGTGGGCTTGCTGGCATTCACAGAAACACACACACACACACACACTTCTATCAGATCTCACCCCCACCACCTGAGACAGACACACACACATCACCTCCACCGCCACTACCCCCACCCCCTGCCAGAGCCCTGACCATAGGCCTCTCTTCCTTTTTAGAGTAACTTGCACCTGCCCATCTAACTGCCCTGCCGCCGTTCCCTTTGCTCTTCCCTGTGCCCCTTGCAGGCGGCGAGCAAGGAGGCGGCGTCAGCTATGAGGAGCAGCAGAGCTTCGAGGACGACGAAGGAGGCGAGATGCACTCCGAAGACTCAGACGTCGAGGAGATGCCTCGGCTCGCCAACATGTGGGGCCACCTGGGCAAGAGGGGGAAAACCGGCTAAACACCTTACCCTCGCGAGGGTCACCTCTCCTTAGCCCCCCTCTCCTTCCCCCATCCGCCCTCCCCCTCAGCTAGGGCCACGCGGCCCCACATTGCACTTCTGGGGGGGTGACCGACTTCGTACACGGGTTTAAAGTTTATTTTTATGGTTTAGTAATCGCAAAGTTCTTATTTTGGGGGGGAGGCAGGGGGGATTTCCCCCCTCTCCCTTTTTCTGGGCCCTCCTCTCCCACAAGCTTCTGTGTGCTGCTAACTGTATTTATTGTGATGCCTTTTGGTCAGGGCCCCTCCACCCCCTTTCTCCTCGTTAGTGTTGACCTTTCTCCGTGCAGTGTGGAGTGGACCCCCTGATCCCCCGCAAGGAGGGCCGCCGTGGCCTTCTTTGCAGCAGCGCAGTGGCCTTAGAGGTCTGACTGCCACCTTGTTTCCCCAAGTCTTTTTTCTCTCGCCTCCTTTTTTCCCAGCTGCGTCAGCTAGCCCGCCTCGGTGTCTATGCAAGGCCGTTTCGCCACTGCGATATCCCTGCCCCACCCCGACCCCCAGAAGCCCCTTCTCTTTCCCTGTGACCCCCAGTAATCCTAATAAAAATCTGAGCAAATTCAAAAAGTGAAAAAGTGTTTGTTGCGAGTCTTTTGTCCTGTGCGCCATCCCGAGCAGCTCCTCTCCCCCCACAGTGGCCTGCACGATGCTAGCTGGGAGTGGGTAGGGGGATAGGGCGGGGGTGGGGGAAGCGGGTGTTCGGCTGCAGAAGCGCTGCGTCAGGCCAATGCGGACCGTCCTGGCCAATGGCAGGGCAAGGCTGAGGAGGCCCCGCCCACTCCTCCGTCTGCAGCGGAGCCAGCCAGGTAGCTAGGAGCTTCCCACGCCTTTCCCTCCAGCGCAAGCGCAGTGAGACTGCCCTGCGCCCTAGAACATTCATTTATTTGGTGATTCATCCTTTTCATTTATAATGCGTCAAACCTTTTTCAGACCTAGTGAAAGCTGGGTGTCGGGAGCCTGAGGAATCCATTTTTCGTCTTTTCAAGTAGTCAAAAAAAAAAAAAAAAAAAAAAGGATGTGGGTACCAACAGCAGGGCCCAGTCTTGCGGGGGCACTTTGAGAGGAGGGGCAGGGTCGCTGGAGCTGGCTGTGCAGGAGGCAGGAATTCGGGTGGGTCAGGATGAGCAGCTTGCAAGAGATAAGGGAAAAGCAGCTATGCATTACAATATGGTTGTACAGTAGGGCAAGAGAATAGAATCAAGCATCTGAAAGTCTAGGAGACCTTGAACAGGGTGCTTATATTACATTTTGGATACTCTTGAGTTTATTTCTCCGGACACCACAAATATTTCTCCGATTAGTTTGGGGTTACAATGATAACTTTTCTAGATATACCTGATCTTTTAAACATTGTATTTCTCGAACTTTCCATCAAATGTCTGTTTTTTTTCCTTTTCTGCAAAGCTTCAAGTATTTTCTGATGCCCCCTGCTGGCTGCCGGTGGAACAGATTGGAATAAGCAATAACGGGGAGGAAGGAAGTGAATGCTGTCTGTGTATCTTGGGTGAGATCGACTTGATGTGGGCAAATATGGGATTTAAACATAATAGACTTAATAATAATTTACATTTACATAATTGCTGCAAAGATAGTACAGAGAAATATATAACTCACAGCCACTTCCCTTTAACATTTTACAATAGTATTGTGTATTTGTCAAAATGAATGAACCAATATCAAAACGTTATTACTAAACTAAGGTCAATAGTTTCTGCAGGTTTCTCTAAGCTTATCCTAATGTCCTTTTTTTGCTAGGATCCTATCCAGAATGCCATGTGGCATTTAGTCGTCAGATCTGGGGCTTTTCTTGGCTCTCATACCTTCTCAGACTTACATCAGATTTTGGATGACACAGAGTCATCAACATTTGAGGTGTGCTGATCAGATATTCTGTGGAATATTCTGTGTTTTTTCAAGCTTACACTGGAGTTAAAAATTGGGAGAGGGAGAGGATAGAAGCAAAATTATATTCTCATCACATCATAGCCCAAGATGCATGCCATAAAAATGCCGTCACTACTGATATTACTTTTCATTACATGGCAGAGGTAGTGTCAGCTTTTTCCACTTTAAAGTTATCCCCCACTCCTTTGCATGCTGTTATTTTGTTGAAACAAGACAAGACTTAGGGCATGGGGAATTATATTTCATGTCCTGTGTGGGAGACCGGATGGAGTTCCAGGCTTCAGTCTGACCCAGGTCAGGCCAGAGACAATATTTGGGGAGTAAACCAGTGGATACAAAACTGTCATTTTCTCTCTGCCTTTCTACATTTCAAATAGATAAACTAGATTTTTTGTCCAAAAAGCTTGGCCATAATTCTCCATAATTCTACTAAATGGTTGGGGAGTGAGTATGGAGGTATCATGCGTCTAGGCTTTTTTTTTTTTTTAAGATTTATTTATTTATATTGGAAAGACAGATGCACAGAAAGAAAGGTTCTCTAGCTGCTGGTTTGCTCCCCCAAGTGACCACAATGGCTGGAATTGAGCTGATCCAAAGCCAGGAACAAAGCAGCACTCTGAAATGGAGTACTGGGATCTGAAGACTGGTATAACCCACTGAACCACACTAGTGGCTTCTGACTTCTTTCTTAAGTGATCAAATGTATATTTTATTTTATTTTTGATGATTTTTACATCGTGGGGAGGAATCTTATTTACACTCAGTAATGCTCATTGAGCACTTTCTGTGTACCCCACACACCCCACACTGCAGTAATAGGGATACAATACTCGGTAATAGGGATACAATAAGCAAACAGGATGGGCCAACTCTTTGTCCCTTGGAGGCCTGAGTTCAAGTATTCTTACTAGTTAAGCCTCTGAATCTTTTTTCAGAAAAAAAAAGATGTTCTTAAATTTTTTTATTGTTTATTTGAAAGGTACAGTTAGTTACAAAGAGAGGTGGAGGAAAAAAGGGGGCAAGGGGAAGACAGATAATCCATATACTCGTTCACTCTCCATAAATCTGCAACAGCCATGGATGGACCAGGTCATCCACGTTGGTGGCAGGAGCCCAAGCACATGGGCCATCTTTTGCTGTCCTATCAGGTGCATCAGCAGTGAGCTGGATAGGAAGCAGAACAACCAGGAAACGACTCAGGCCCATATATGGATGCCAGCTTCACAGGCTGCAGTGTAAGTTGATATGATACTGTGTCATGTACACAAACATCTGAAATAGTCAACATTGCTCAATGCAAACCTTTAAACCTTTACTGCAATGTGCCCTTTTTCTTTACTTTTCTCTAACCTTTCTTTGCACGTCCCTAAGGCTGCCACTGAATGGCTTGCTACTAGGATTCACAGAAGAAAACAGAACAGCAAACAGAAGGCAATAGAACCGGAAGACACATGCTGGGGTTGGGGAGTCCTGAGACTGATATTGAAAAGTCAAAAGTCCAACATGAAACTGTATTGCCTGTCAGGACACCCAACCTTGCCATGCAATGTGCTCAAATTCAAATCAGCCACCATTACGTTGCACTGTGGCCTGGACATGTCTTCCATGCTTTGCCACTTGTTCTAAGTCCCAGGCTGTCTAATCTTCCTTGCTGGTCCCTGAAGGATGGAAATGCTTTCTTAGAGAAGGAACTAAAGGAGTGCTCAGGTGGTGTGTTGGTGGACTCTGTGCCTGAATTCTGTTTACCAGAGACTGAGCTAATAGACCTGTTGACAGTAGATGTGGTTCTCATCTCTATCCGTGCATGACGGCACTGCCCCGCATCACCAAGCACACAGAGTTCACAGGCAGTGTACGCCACAGAGCTCACTCTGCAGATGGGCAGGCTTCTCATGGAAGAGCCCGTGAATTTCACTGAAAGCATGCCAAAGGCTAAGTCTGCCTCCTTGTGGAAGAATAAAGACATACAGCGGCTGTTGCCTTCTCACAAGGATGCAGTGAAAGTTTCAACATGGAGAAGATGTTATACAATGCAAGAAATGAACTCAGCCCTTAGTAAAATCCAGTTGGTGGAATATTCTCAGAAAATTGAGCTTTTTGGTGCTGTCTAGGTGACCCCCTCTAAGTTCTGGCTATGTACTTGGAAGCTTCAACTGGATTATCCAGTCCCATTATGAGAAAATATCTTATGTCTCTGGATCCTCCTTGCTTACCACACACCCTCAAGTATTACAGATGCTTTGAACAACTCAACTTTTTGATCATTTAACTCAAAATCGGGTGGTATCCAGAGTTCCACCAGCCATTTGAAATTCTGTGTAATCTTAGTCTCTATGAATGTACCTTAGAACTTAGTAGGCCAGGATGAAGAATTCTTATTTTATTTAAATGTGTAAAGGGAAACTCTTAGAAGTTTTTAAACTAGTCATTCATTCTAGCCACTTTTACATTTTATATGAAAGCATTACAAGGAGGGAGGGAGGATGGGAGAGGTCTTCCATCTCCTGGTTCACTTTCCAGAAGACCATAACGCCAGGACCGGGCCAGGCCAGAGTCAGGAACTTCCTCCAGGTCTCCCACATGGGTGGGGGGCCCAAGCATCTGGGCCACCTCTTCTGCTTTCCCAGGCCATTAGTGGAGAGCTGGATTAGAAGTGAAAGCAGCCAGGAATCAAACCAGCGTTCATCTAGGATGGCAGTGCTACAGGCAGTGACTTAAACTACTATGACAGTACTGGCTCCTGTAGTAGCCACATTAAGAGATTGTGCATGTCATGGGCCCGGCGTGATAGTGTAGTGGTTAAAGTCCTCGCCTTGCACATACCAGGATCCCCATATGGGTGCCAGTTCTAATCCAGGCAGCTCCACTTCCCATCCAGCTCCCTGCTTGTGGCCTGGGAAAGCAGTCAAGGACGGCCCAAGGCCTTGGGACCCTGCATCCACATGGGAGACCTGGAGGAGCTCCTGGCTCCTGGCTTCGAATTGGCACAGCACTGGCCATTGTGGTCACTTGGGAAGTGAAGCATCGGACAGATCTTCCTCTCTGTCTCTCCTCCCCTCTGTATATCCGCCTTTCCAATAAAAATAAATAAATCTTTTTTTAAAAAAAGAGGTTATGCGTGTCAACATTATTAATGTTTATCTTACTTATTCATTTTTAGATATGTGTAGAGTATATTTTCATAGATCTTGGTTCTTTTCATGTGTGTGCAGGGGTTGAAGAGACTGGTTGAAATTGTGGCAATCCATATCCAAGTTCATTTATTCATTTATGTATGTACTTCTTAAACATAAACCTAATATTTTATTGTCTTCATGGTAAAGCTAAATATGAGTCTTAGAATGAGATCATTTGGGGAGGGGCCTAGGGAATGTGACCTTGGGGCTTGGGTGGTGAGATTTCCGGCACTGTGGCAGCTGCTGGAGGTACCCGAACCAGGTCAGACTCAATGCTTTGGGCCCTAGCCACAGCCACCACTGCCACATGGTGAGTGAGTCCTGCCACCTGGTGGTGAGCTCTGGGGTCTTGGGGTGTGGAATTGCTGCCTAGGGACATCCATGGATACCATGGATAAGGCTACTGTGGCTGTAGGTGAGGAATGAATCCTGAGGGACTCCCAATGACAGGGTCACTTTACTTGCAGGTAAGCCAAGGTCCTGGGAC